CAATTGATTAGATTTGTTTAATATCATTATACTTAAAAAATTCTTTTTATTGCCAGATACATCTTCAGTACACGATTTCTTGTCTTCTTATGAAAATATATGCAATACATCCCATTGAAAGTATTAAATATACTTTTATCCTTCATTTGATCAGTTCAACTACAATATCAGCTCGCTATAAAAATTGATTCAATCATTCGATAAGCTTCCCAGCATACTGTCTTTTCTCTTAATAAGGTTTGACATATGCAGTTGAGTTTTGCCTAACCTTCGAATTAAATTAGTTCATACTTTTCTATATCAATCCTTTTCTAACTATGCTAGATGAATAATGCCACTACCCTGCTGATTGGCATCTACAATAAGATTCTTCGCTGTATTCAATACTAAGCCTCATAATATTTATTCTAGTTCAATTCTATAGTAGAAATATTAAAGTCATAGAATGCTTGAAAAAATTCCAAAACATTTCGGAATGATCAAAGCAATATTCTTCGTGATCTGCCTTTTTACGTTGCTAGGAAAATTTATTCATTGGTCATTGGTCTCCCATCTACCGTCACTAGGAAAATGGGTCCGATCTTTGTCAGCCTTTTCCCTCTCTCATGTTGCTATGAAAACATATCGAGTGATCTTTAGATTTTCTTATATAACCAACGGTCGCTAGGACCTTATTGAGGGTAAAGAACGAGAAACATCTCAATTTAACTCTTTGAGGACAGACTTTTTTAATACAAATAACGAAGTTGTAACGTCAGAATCAGTTATAATCTGAAAAGTGTTAATTATCGTAATAATAATGGTTTCTCTTCGTGCAACGACACAAATAGAGAATCTTGATTTAGAAATAGAAACAAAATACTAGACGAATCTACTCTAACAAAGTCAAAGACTTCAAGTTTTGCTGGGAATTTTCAAATCGTGTATATACGGTCTTGGTCTCTCAAAGGTTCCAGCTTATATCCGCTATTTTCTTGGAGAATATATGTGAGTTTCACAAAGTCAACAGGAGACCAATGTCGACTGTGAAGGTTCATGTGTAGCAAGCCAATGGCTTAGAGACCGAAAGCAGTGCATACAATTATCAGATTGTAATAGTCTTGTCTGCTTGGACGGTGAATGTGTTTGTAGCTATCCTGTTGTCACAAAAAGTGCAGTATTACTATTGCTCTTACTGTTCTAAAATGCCATGATAAATATTTGACGTGGATATGGATGTAGATTGAGGGTGCGGATATGTAAACGTTATTTCCACTACACCACAGATTCACACTCATATAAGAACCCACCTTTAAAAAAAAACCTTGTGATGAGTTTTGTCTTTTGGGTACTAGCACCATAACAGCAATCGTTGCTAGTGAGCATGCCTTATAAAAGGAATATCCTTTGGAATTTGTATCACGCACAACTATTTCTAGAGGGTTCTCTCATTATTTGGAATGTTAACGAAGTTTTCTGAAGAATGCTGGACTCCTAATTTTTCATTGATGTTAGGCACAGCTACAAGACGAACAACTACAATAAGGCTAGCAATGACAGCAGCAACAACTGAAACAACAACTGAAACAACAACTATAACAACAACAACTACAACAATAATAACAACAACAACTGCGACAACAACTACAACAATAACTACAACAACAACTACAACAATAACAACTACAACAACAACAACTACAACAATAACTACAACAACGACAACCATGACAACAACAACAACAACAACAACAACAACTACAGCAACTACAACAACAACAACTACAACAACAACAACTACAACAACAACAACAACGACAGCAACAACAACTACAATAACAACTACAACAACAACAACAACGACAGCAACAACAACTACAACAACAACTACAACAACAACAACTACAACAATAACTACAACAACAACAACGACAACCACGACAACAACAACAACTACAACAATAACTACAACAACGACAACCATGACAACAACAACAACAACAACAACAACAACTACAACAACAACAACTACAACAACAACAACGACAGCAACAACAACTACAATAACAACTACAACAACAACAACAACGACAGCAACAACAACAACAACAACAACAACAACAACAACAACAACAACTACAACAATAACTACAACAACAACAACGACAACCACGACAACAACAACAACTACAACAACAACAACTACAACAACAACTACAACAACAACAACGACAGCAACAACAACTACAACAACAATTACAACAACAACAACTACAACAACAACCACGACGACAACAACAACAACTACAACAACTACAACAACTACAACAACAACAACGACAACAACAACTACAACAACAACCACGATAACAACAACAACTACAACAACAACGACAACCACGACAACAACAACCACAACAACAACAAAAACGACTACAACTACAACCACAACAACTACTAGTAAGTAATAGGTTAAATAGCTAAATAATTTTTTCTAAAGCGGCTTAATAAAAAATTTTGAATATTTGAAAGTTTTTGAGAACCCGTATAAAAAGATCGGCTAAGTAAGATAAAGTGGTACTAGAAATATCTCGATAAACGGGAAAACATCATTTTACGAAATAAAGCTCATCTAATCGTTCCTATCCAAGAGAAAATGGAATGTTTTTTTGTTCCTTCATGTTTTTCTCTCATTTGCGGTAGTTTTTAGTGTTGTAAGATTGAAGCAGCTATTATGACCGAGTGGATACTTTTTTTCTACTAGAACATTATGTAGGTTTTGACATAATGTAATGGATGGGCATTTAAGAAGTGAACTAATATTCATTGGAGAAAATTGATATGAAAAATTGAAGACTTTATGCAGCTATCACCATTCTTCAATGCAACTATTGGCTCTATGCATGGTGCTTCTACAAGTGTTCAGGAAAATCGAAGAGATCTTAACGTAAGATAGAGAAGGTTCGAATAGAATTGGAAAGATTCATTTAGATCGAACGAGTTCGTTGGATAGACTAGGAAACTGCCAATTAAATCTCTTCAATCTAAATGAAATGCTACTTTTATTTATATAAGTTTTCTGTTGTTAGACGGCAATAAAAAATAGCCGAATCATGTATACTTGAATCATATTAAAAAGTTTCTATCATATTACAGAAAAGGCAATTTTCTCAAAAATGAAAATATTCCAAATTAGTAAATTTACCATCTGACTAATTTATTACGTTTGTATTCGCTAATGTGTCGGTATTTTAAAAATGTAAGCAGTCAACTTTTTAAAATTAGTATTTATCATGTTCTTGAATTCATTATATGTTCTGAAAAATTAGTCCGAAATGATTGCTGTTTCATACTGAAGAGACGTTCAAAGATTCATATTTACAAAAATTTTTGTTTCTCTTCGAATACCGTCACTAGACAGGTACCCACAAACTGTCACCACAGCCTTAATAGCTTTTTATGTACTACTAAATGGAGGGTATTCTTCGATGTCTTTGAATCTACACCAAAGTACTATTTAGGACCATGAAAAGTTTGCATATTGCAAGATGCTAGTTTCATTTTTTAATGAATTAAAGAATATATTTTCAATCCAAGAACATCGATGATTCATTAGTATAGGCAATTGACGATGCACTTTGTAGATGCCTCCATGTTTTCTTAAATTTGATCGCACTAAAATGATCATTAGCATAGAATATATAAATCAGAACGCTTCACGAAATAAAAGAATTAAAATCGATAAACAAAACACTTGGTGATTTTCATGTAGAATCATCTTTCTATATGCTGTTGGTGGTTGTTAGCAAATCAATGAAATATACAATCAAAACAGATGTACAATCTAACAGAATCCTTAGAAGATACATAAATTCACGTGAATTCATGTTTATAAAAATTGCAGGTGCTTACAAAATGTTGATCAAGCATGGAAATACTTGTTCAAAGCGTCTTAGCTCGAATTTCGCGTCATTGAGACATATTTTGAAGGCTTTTTGTGTAAAAGAACTTTCTCAAATTGTTCTTCTAAGTCAATTAATTAATAGAGTTAGCTTTTCAAATCTATCGAAATCCGATGCATTATTTTCAAGATGAAATCCTTTGCAGTATTTCATAGATCAGTCATTTTTCTGTTGCGATTTGATAGTTTTTCATTCTGACTTACTTTTTACTAATTTCTGAAACAGAGCCTTCACCATTAGTTAAACAATGAATATACAAGTTAATTTTCTTTGTTTTTCCTGTTATTATGGTTTTTTGAAGAGAAAAAAAAGATATTTGCTGGTTTTTTTCTTTTTTTTTTTGACAAGCAATTGGAATGATTATCAGTGATACTAATTTATTACGGGTTCAATTGATATTAACTACTGACATAGTTGATTCCAGACCAGAGAATGCTATTATTAGCGCTATTTTCGTTTTTAGTTAGTGTCTGTTGCGTTGCTTGTTTATGAATGAAGGTCTTTTTTACAATAAGCTCTGCGTTGCGTATGCCTCTTCTAATTATAAGAGACTTCCATTCATACCCACCACGAGAGTTATAAGATTATATTTTATGGAAAATATGAACTTTTCAAGAACTTTGAGTTTGAAAACTATTGAAACTTGTAAACGAGTTAATTCTAATTCAAACTATTTTGAAATTAATATCAACTGAGAATACTGGTGTTTGAAATAATTATGAAACCTTTGAGTATCACAAAACTCAAAAAAGAAAGTGTAAAAGTCTTTTATTTCTAAACAGATAAAAAACATCTAGAGAATGTTAAGACTTCATTAGGTCCTAGTTTCAAAATCTGTCAGGCCATCTGTGCTTGAAGAAAAAAACATTAATATTTCGGTCATGTTCCATGATATGATGATTCACTTTTCGTAGGTACTAAAAGTACTCATTATGAATGATGCTTAAGAAAAGATTGAATGATTTAATTTATTATAAAATTTATAATAGAGAAATGGAAGAGTCTAATTAAGACTAGAGGAAAGAATGTTTTTAAAACGAACCACAACTTGAACGACCCCAACATGCATAGATAGAGATTTTTTAAATTAACTTCTAGATGCGAGACTTTTTAGTTTTGCGACTGAAAAAACCTACGATTCATATTCACATACACAATGCATTAAAAATCTTTTTCCAACAGGCTGATAGGCATACAAAATTAATCGTTTAAACTTCTGCAAACTCTATATATAGTCTACAGAATATACAAATGAATAATTATTTATATATTTATCGTCCAAGTGATATTATTCTTAAGCCCGATCTTATCTGAATTGAATGCTTGGATTGGTTTTATTACCGTTGAGAATTGACAAACACATTCAGAAATTTTAACGCTTCTTCTCCATCCCGATTATGACGTCAAATATTGTTTTATGTGGTTGGTGAGACATACTAGTTTCACACTGGTCATTTTAGTCTTTCTTGTCCTAAAAGATGTAAGATATACTTGTTTAATATTAGAATGTCTGTGGACATCGGTAGCATCATAAAAGCGTTCCTCAGTTGCGATTTATAAGTATAGTCTTCTCTTGAAAACATGGAGGCTATTGTACTATTCTTGAGAGGTCTACTCGGTGATCTTTTATCATTCGTGAGAAGACGAAAATCATATTTTTCCATTCTATCGAAAGATCACTATTCTTAAGAATTACAAAGGAAGTGCTCAAGGAGAGAAGCATATTTATTAAGAGAATGGGCTTTGCACCATTGTTTCTTGAATGAACTTCATCAACCACATAGCTTTTGCAACTTTCTGATGCCATAGTCATGCTAGAGGAAAAATGCATTTAATTTACAACGGATTCAATCAAGAGTGATCGATAAAAGCAAGAAAGTCCAAGAATATAGCACTAAAACTATAAATAAATCTTTTCGTGTGCTTACTTGAAAGTCTATATCTGAGTAACTGTAAGCTGATCATAGCGAAGTTCAGACTGTACATTCACTATTTAGAAGTCAGCTTTGCACAGTAGGACATATCACCGTTTATTTGGCTGATAGATTAACATATTCAAACAGTATATTTCCAAATAATAAACCTTGTCTACATCACATCTTGAACATGGTAAGGGTTTTCTAGCAAGAATTGGAAAGCAGACTCAAATCGATTTGTCAACGCACTACGAGAATACTGTGCGAAACATGCGTTTTCTTTTATTTCCAGTATCATTCATAATATATCTTTAGGTTCTATCACGACAACAACTACTACAAGTCCAGGTTGTAATGTTTGTTATGTTACTACTACTCCTGGTAATAATAATCGTACTTGTAATAATTTTTGTGGTACTCGTACTTGTACTACTATTACAACAGGTACATCCACTACCAACTGTAATGGTAATTTTAATCGTCCTTGTAACAATGTTATGGTTTTACTTGTTGTTGTGTGCAGTCACAAGGAGGTTAAAACTGTACGATACATTGGTCAAGTAACTTCGAACATTACATGCTCTTATTTAATTTCTTCATATACTTTTACTGAACTCCTCATCTTCATAAACTTTTGATGCTATATAAATGCAATCTAATCTTGAAGCGCATTTGTGTTATCTTCACTTTTCAAAGAACTTTTCAACATTTGTAGATCGGGTCTGACGTGAGATCTACTTGAGATTAGATTACTTTCATATACCGTAAAATATTTATAAGATGATTTTTTATTCACGAACAGCGAATTTACATAAGATGACTACTCAATAGTGAAGATTTTAGTAACAGTTAGTTACCTAATTCTTAATTACTTCGCTCAACTGTTTCTCTTTCTGTTTTGCTTCAGTAAAAATTACCCTTTTTATCTTTTAGAAATCTTATTTTTTACATTTAATCATCGTTTTTATGTGCTTTAATATCCTCAATAAATACTATTTTTAAAAATACAACAAAGATATGCGAATTTATTGGTGTGATTGTTTTCCGATATAGTACTGAAGTACAATGCTGCAAAGTTTCGCTCAGCCTCATGTGTCTTTTGAATTTTACCAAGAGCGATACCAGTGTATCTTATATATACGAAAAGGAGATCTCATGTTTTGTTTTATCTGAGCTGATGGTGGGTAAAAGACCGTGACAAAAATTATTCGATATCTTTTTTTTCTTTTACAAATATCGCAATTAACAAAATAAATAATTCTAAGCTTTCTCTCCGCAGGTACAGCACTTGGTTCACATAGAATATCTAAGATTAGAATTAAAGGATTTCTTGAATGGATTTGCTGCCGAATTGGGTTTGAACATGTGGGTGTTGATGTGAGAGTCCGGAGGATGGGTAAGAATGAAATCTCTCTTCATTCACTCACACCCACATACTAGCATCTGTCGAAGGATATGAAATTTCATGAAATCACAAAGCCTCACGCTACAAAACTTTAAGTGATCATACTTAGGGAATGCCAAAAGTAGTGGCGCCGACTCTATAATATTTTACAGAAAGCTTGAGAAAATATTTTCGCTATATATTCTGATAGCTTAAGTCGAGTTCTATAATTCTATAGTATTTTATAAATTTTCAAGTGATGCCATATTAGCAAAAATTTTGGTGCTCTAAGGTTTCCCTGCCAAGTGAATAATGGGAAAATGATCATTAAAATGCATTATTATCCGTGGCTGGACCATTTCGACCATTAAAATGCATCGTTTTTAGCGAATAATGGTAAAATAGTGTGTGAGTGTGGGTATGGTGGGTGTGCGGGTGTGCGGGTGTGGGTGTGGGTGGATGTGGGGTGTGGGTGTGGGTGGATGTGGGGTGTGGGTGTGGGTGGATGTGGGGTGTGGGTGTGGGTGGATGTGGGGTGTGGGTGTGGGTATTGCCTTCGGTTACACCAACAGCCACACTCACACTCACGCCCACACCCACCTGCATCAACATCCACACCCTTACATGACATGCGAAGAAAAGTTTTTTTCCTATTGCCACGCCAACGTTAGAAGTGAATAAGTTCGTTTGTTTCTTCTGTTTACCAGTATAAACATCAAAATGTATGCTTATTTGAATTAAGTATACTTATATCGTCTGATACGTTCTTAATATTTGGCATATATTTCCGTTTTAGGTACAGTCCATACTAAAACTTCACCAATGGGACATTCAAAATATGGACATAAAATATATTTGTCATCCCTTGCTAAATAATAAAGTAATTTGAACGACCTTCTCAACTTACTCATATTGTATCGGTGTTTTTCTGTACCTTCAGACACCTACGAGGGAAGGTCTCCAACTGACGGAAAGCTCTTGTGCTCTTAATCGGTTCTGACAGTAGATCTCGATGAGTTTAGGAAAATTATAAAATATCTCGTGCCCACCGCCCTTCGTCCAAAGAATATTGTATCATCAAGGTCTACAAACAAGGCTTTTTATGTACTTTAGAATTTTGATTTTTCATCGTCAGCAAAAAGTTTAAGTCATCTGAGGATTTTATCCTATAGACTATGCTATGAACAAGGTCGCGCATAAGTTTCAACGTGATTCATTTGACATAACAGCAGATATTGAATTTCAGTCATATACATGTATTACACATGTTTTATTTGCAAGTAAAACTCACATACTTATATTTTATTTAATGAAAATGATAGCTAAGGAAGATATGTTCAAAACATAGAGCTGCTTTCACCAGCTGCAACAGATGAATGGAGGAGAAGTACATTTTTTTGCTGCTGGCAGGACGTTTGGTTGATTGTAAAACATGTATCGTGGACGTTTTGGAAATTTTCAGGATGCTCATCAATGTAACCTGATGCAAACCATGAAGTATCTGAAAGTATTGATGAGGATAATTCTCTAATTTTTCACAGCACTGTATATTGAAATATATTGAAATATTGTGCCATAGATATTCACATATCAATCAAATGTACCATCATTTATTTAATTAAAATGGAGATTTAAATGAAGAGGCTTCTATATTCGTCCTATCTTTAGTATATCATGTATCAAATCAAACTCAAGTGAATGATATATGGCTGCTTGTGGGCATCAAACGAAATGAATTTCAGTTCGATTGCATAAGAAACTTCAAAGCTTATTGAAATCAACATTCTGCGAAGTGATTATGTAGAAGATTAAAGTGAAATTATAATGAAAACGAAAATATTTTCATGATCAGCTGACATCTTGTTGAAATCTATTTTTCATCCAATGATAATCAATCGTCTGTGTTCCATATGTTCGTTATAGAATGTCATCAAGGTCATTATATATGTAGATCGTCCAACAAATTTTTTATTTTTTTTAAATATATTTCACACGTTAATCAAATATAAACATATTTGACGAAAAAATAGCTAGCCCGTCAAGAAACTTTAAGTATTATACAAAATTTTCATTCGATTTATATATTTCATACTTTGTTTTCCTATTAAATTAGAATAAAGATATGAAACGTATTATTGATGATATTATTAATCAAATTTTACCAGTGAAAAGTTTTCGTTGTAATGTAACTTGTTTACTTGATTTACCAGATGACATTCTCTTAATGATCTGCCGTTATTTATCAACATATGATGTTTTTCATTGTTTTTATACACCTGAAAGATTAAATTCGAATTTTCATTGTTTGGTTTATGATTATTATACAAAGATCAACCTTGGTTCAATAGCATTTGATAAACGTGATTATTTGTTCAATTTATTTTCTCATCCAAATAATCCTCTTCGACCTAAATCATTAATATTAAATAATGAACATGGATTTTATTTAGATAAACATTATTTCTTTTCTTTACATAATAATATAATTCAATCAGTACTTATAAATTTGACACATCTTACTTTAATCAATTGTACTTCAACTGATCTTAATATTATCAAGAACTATTATAAGGATTTCACAAAACTTGAATATTTTCATGCTACTGTTCACGAATGTTATACAAAATCAGGTGAGTTTATCATTAAGAGGATTTAGTTCATAAAAGTAAACTATTTTCTTTATTACATTCAACCTATTGATTATTTCTGAGTTAAATAAGCAAATGTAATAAACACGTGAAAAAAATCTTGATCCTTTTTAGAACTTAGTCACATAGATCAGAGTGATATACCATTCAATAAATTATTATTCGCTGGTCGAATGTGTACTCTACATATAGTTATCTTCGAAACATTTTATGGACTTTCATTGTATAAAACTTTAAAACCTCATCAAAGTCTTCGTCATTTTAATATTGTTTTACAAAAAATTGATGATTTATATATATTAATCAGTGAACTTGTGCCAAACATCGAAACACTTATTGTTCAATTGCGTGAATCAGGCCTATCAAGTAAATATAATTCGACTTTTTAATAGAACTTGAGAACTTCTTTCGTCGTAAGACATATTTTTCATACGTCATTCGCAGCGACTCTTTATCTTCTTTATCTATTTTCCATGAAAAAAAACGCTTCATGAGTCCTTGTGTTTCTAATCGTTTGAAGTGGATTTGTTCACCATCGAGATCATTATTTCTTAGAAGTATTATACTTGTGAAATGAGAGTTATTTTTATAATTTATATTTTTTTTTCAGCACGGTATCGTCCTCAATGCCAAGTATCGTGTCCTCGATTGATTGATTTTACATTATTGGAAATTTCTACTAATATAAATCTTGACGATATTGAATCTATACTTGGTTACATGCCTAATCTTCGTAAATTAACATTGAGCATTCGTGATACACCTGATTCAAGATTTACTGAAGGATCAACAATGGAACATATGCTAATGAAACAGGTTCCTCGTCTTGATCAATTTGATTATACAATGACGCATCGAATTGGTAATCAAATACCAATTGATGATTTTACTCTATGGACGATGGATATTGTTTTTTATGAAAACGAAAATACTAGATGGATACATTTGTTTTCACTTCCATGGCCATCAAATCAGCAAGATAAACGAGAAGTACCTATCATCAACGGTAAATACAATATTTCAATTACATCAGATGTTAAATATACCCACAATATCAATCATATTAATATTACAACGAATGATGAAATGTTAGAGATCAATGAAAAATCTAGTCGAGTCCGTGAACTTACAACTTGTTTATCAATTAATATCGAATTACCACGAAATATTTCTAGATTAATTCTCAGTGTACAAGCACGTAAATATTTTCTTTCTAACTTTTATACAAAAAAAAATTATTTTCTATCTTAATTTTAGCTGTTAGTTCGATAAACTCTATTCCACAAGAATATATTTATAATTTAGTTGTTGAACGTCGTTTAATAGATGAAAATGAAATTAATGTACTTGCTCACCAATTTCCACGTGTAAAAAATTTAGAATTATTATTTCCATTGGAAAAAACTTCGTGTCTTCGTTGTTTACAAACTCTTTTTCGTCTTGCTGATAATACTGGAAAACGTTGTTTTTGGTCTGAAATGATTAACTTTCATACAAAATTTACTCATGGTCAACCATGCTGGATTTGGAACAATGACGAATTTCACCATTGGCTTCTTTCAAATACTGATCTGAAATTTCGACCAAATCAATTCTATATTTCGGTTTCGGGTTCAATATTTTCTATTTGGCTTTGACTACTTTTCTTATTGATATAAAACTTGTTTAGATAATTTTCACAGTTTTTCTTCGTGATTTCTTCAACTGAAATGCCAATATCATATTCAAAGAAAAATTATAAGTGCTATTGCAGTTACGGCCTTTTATCATATAGGGTGTCCAGAAAGTCACTAGAGTTAGGAGAATTTGCATATCTCCATTATGGCTCGGCCAAACAAGCTCATTTTTTTACCAAGAATAGAGGCATGTTCACACTCCAAATCTATACGGACAAGGTTAGTGAAAAGCTTCGTTAAGTATATTTTTTTTCTTCCTATCTGTGAAAAACTAAAATTTTCTTGTTGAGGTCAATAGTAATACTTAACAAAGGTTTTCACTAACCTTATCCGTATGGATTTGGAGTGTGAACATGCCTCTATCCTTGGTAAAAAAAATGAGCTTGTTTGGCCGAGCCATAATGGAGATATTCAAATTTTCCTAACTCTAGTGACTTTCTGGACACCCTATAGATCAACCTGTAGCAAAAGATCACTCGATAAGGCTCTAGATGAGTTCTTTGCTTGATACGTAATATACCCAGGTCGAAGATTCCGGTCACCGGATCCCGCAGGATCCTACAGAAAAGATGCGGAAAAATTCACCATATCCAGCAGAAAAATACCAGAAGTCACTGGAACAAGGTGGCAGTATTCCGGCCGGAATACTGCCACCCTGTTTCGGCGTCTTTCGGTGTTTCCCTGCAGGAGCCAGCTCGTACTTTTCGACCTGGGTAAACATCCTTCATGTTCAAGTTAGAAAGTTCTTCACTTAATTCTACAATAAAATGCTCGTGGATTTTGCTCGACCATGATTTTTGCATAAATTTTCGAATTTGGAACAAATTTATTTTCAATAGTGTTCATTCCATTCTCCTAAACTACTTCTTTTTTATTTGATAGGTAGATATATTTTCTTTTGAATGAGGGGAAAGGGATTTCGTATTTGACGTTCGACACGAAACTCTCATAAATAAAACAAAATTAAAATTAAAAAACACTTTTCCTCATTCGAAACAGTAGGGAGAGTTCCCTTCCAAATGATAATAGTTTGAAATATATTGAAAAAAATATTTGTACTCGTGAAATCCCAATATCGTGTGTTGGCTCTCGAAAATATCTCGAACGATGAGTTTTAAAGCCGGACAATCTTTTTTCTTAATAGTATATTATCATTAGTTGAACATCTTCAAAAACTTTCATGGAAACTCCATACATTGTATTCAAAAAATGCTTTCGGAGGGAAGGAGACCTTCAGAAAAAGAGACATCAAAATAAAAAAATGATTGTTCACCACCAAACAGTGATTGACTGTGGCAACATACTTCCATAGAAAATTAGAACATCAATTTTATTCAAGTCATTACTTGAAGATAGTGTAACAAAAGTCAGAGAAACATTTCGTTTTGGTTTTTGAGTGTTAGCACAGAATGGTCTTTTTTTTATTGATCTGTACTGATACTGGAAAATTCAAAAAAAAAAATTAATAGAAATACATTTTAAAACCAAACTGCAACGCGAAAGTTTTGGTGCGAAATGTTTGCTAATCTTTCTGACACTTGGAAGCCATTGTTCAAGGGACAAGAGCACTCAATTAGAATTGGAATTATGTACTCTTTCAGACTATATGCACAGAATTTTCTTTTCACATAATCTTGTTAGACTATTCGAAAGTTTTTTCAAGGATCCTACAAGCTACGTCTGCACAAAGAAAAATATGAAACAATGTGCAGTTTATATTTGGAAATAGTTTTAACTCGAGATTAATGTAAGTCATTCAATTTTCTACTAAATCGCACTTGAAAATTATACGTCTTTTCAAAAGAGGTACTTTCTATGTGAGGTAACACTACTTAAAAAGTCGATTTTTCAAAAAACAATTATATAAAAAGATATTTTTTCAAGATTTTAATGCAAAATAAAACAGATTCTAAAATAGTACAACTTGCAAGCGAAAAATTTGCTTTGCAATACTGAACTATTAAAAACTGCTTTACATTTTGCTTTCAAGTAGGTTTTAGCCAGTGCACTAAATAAAATTCTATACGGGCATTATGTTGGATAGCTTGAAAATTTGTTTCGCATATGATCATCCTTACATCAAAAGAAAACTCTTTATATAAATTCCGAAAGAGCAAACAAGTTTGATTCTAACGGACTAATTTTCACTCTAAATAATTGCTTCCGAATACCTGAGAAATGAGCAAACATTTTGTACCAACACTTTCGTGCCTAGTGATCTTTCGTTCATAGAAAATTCACTTTTAATAACAATAAGTAGTAAATCTCAGATTTTCATTTGAGAATAGTCAGACGGATTATTCAAAATGTATTGTTATGCGATTTAAATACAATAGATCAAGCACACAGGTACTACAGAAATCAATATGTATGAAAAATTAGTTTTGTTAAAAAAAAAAACTCAAGTTTGAAACAAAGTTCAGATTTCGTCACTTTCGAAGATATACTGAAAAACAGCTGTACAAATAGGAAAGAAAATGACGACCTTAAGTGTAAAAATGAAATTAACAAATTGGTTCCGTTCGTGTTGACATATTGCGATGGATAACTGTTTTTTTTTTAATTATCAATAAAGTCGATATGCATCAATGACTCCAATTCGCTACCAGTAAGAGTACTCAATCGATCGAATAGAGCCACTTGAAAACTTGCTGTTCCATGAACTGATGCATGGAATGTAGCCTGTTCTGCACATACACCCATGACAGCGAAACCGCCAACAGCTGCGACCAAATAGTCTTTAGTGACACCGGCAAAGCAAGCCATCAGAGCACTAACTATGCATTCCATACCAGTAAGTTGATTGAGGCGATCGCAACTATTCTTAATTATCACTATCTGATGTGCATCAGAAACATAGTTCTTTTGACCACTAAGTGCCACAATAGTTTTTCCATTTCTTTTCTGAGCTAATTGACGTACCATCTGACCCGGATCGAGCACGCTGGTAGCGGTGTCAGTTCCATGAACATGAACTGTTGCATTGTAAATGTGTCTAATCTCGCTCGAATTACCTTTTAAAATGGTAATATCGAGAGAATCTAGTAATTTTAGAATAGTTTCCGTGCGATAGGTCGTAGCTCCGAGTAGAACCGGATCAAATACAATCGGAATCTCCTTTTCGTTGGCACCTTGTCCTGCAATATGTATCCCTTGAACCCATGGCCCACTCAGTGAGTTAGAATCGATTGCGATCGCATCGGCAAGTGAAACCATGTCCTCGACCTCCTCGACTGCATGTGCCATTAATGACTTAGCACCAATATGGATTGTAGCATTACCGGTTTGATTCATCACAGCATGATTCACAATCTGATAAATTAATGGTCTTTTTTTCCGAATCGCGTCGAATGTTTGTGCCACGGCTTTCTTTAATGACGATACTGATATCGATGACATGCTAAAGATAAATGAAATACAAGTGCGTTTCATTCATAGACGCGTACTCCTAAGCATGAAGTCCATCTGTATTCTGCATTCAATACGGATCATAGAGCAACAGGCTTTGCAAGTTCAAAGAGACAAAATATAAATAGAATTATTTTCTTTAAAGTGAATAGAAATCACTGTGTTCAAATGTACATTTGAATATCGGCAACAATCTATACTGATTTCAAGGCACATTAAAAATACTGATATTTTTTCTAACTCTCTTCAAATCCGCAGAGAACAATTCACAATTCGATGTAGGTTACTTATCATTCGAATGACGATATTTGCACAAGATCAACGCGAGTATGTATCTTGAAGACGAAACAAAAAAAGAAGAGATAAGAAATGAGAGAACACATCGTCTATACAGCAATAGTGACGAAGCATCGATTGATGTTAGAAGAAATGAAGAAAAAAAAACGATGCTGAGACAATACATGAATGATGACAGCCAATAAGATGTTTGGTTCTTTCTGTTTCGTTTTTTTTCCTTGTCTTTTCTTTATGTTTCTCTTTCTTTCTTTTAGTTGCTCGCTCCACTCAAGTATCTCTGTAGCTGCTTATCATTATTCCTCTCTTTTTACTTTTTACTCTCTCCATTTACTTTGTTTATTTTTTATCTACTTTCTCAATGTCCCTACGAGTGTAAATCAATACTCAGCATATTATATTGATGGCAGACACTATAACGTTTTGCTTTAATGATGCAGCTTTTCGTTTAAACATGTCTATTTCTTTCTTTTATCGTGTAAGCATTTCCGAATGTTATAATCACGAGCATAATCAGAAAAGATGTTCGGTGTATATCTTCAACATAAAGAGCAGCTTATATTGCTGTTCTCTTACACTTAACACTCCTAAGATATGTCACTTAATGATTTTTCTTAATATTCGATAGAACTCCATTGTCAAATGTGTAAATATGTTTCACTATGAAAATTTTGATTGTTTGACATCGTTTCAACAATAAGTATGCCGTATGATGTGTGTTCGTTCTCGACTGTTCGAATAATATAAGAGAAAAAGGAAAATACCCAACTTTAGTTACCTGAATCACAGTCATGCATGTTCAAAACATGTACCAACTCATTTTCAGTTATTTCTGTAGCATAATCTTTACCTCTATACTCTTCTGCAATACCACAAACAATCTCTGTTGAGCAGTATTGATTCGCAAGGTAATTGCACATAGGCTTCCGCATAGAAGTATATCATAGATTGCATACATGATTCACTCTTGATCATTATTATAAGGAATAGAAAATACATGATCAATCACGTGAACAGCTACCAAGTAATTATTAATATCAGTACTGTAGAATCATGAAGAAAAACAGGCACACACCAGGAATTTTTTTGAGGGGATCCATCATGGAAAAAAATAAGTTTTTCTGTCCAAAGTGTTTTTGCTCATAGCACACTGTTGGTGTTTTTTCTTCTGAACGAGGCTCAGGTCTCATGGGTTCCTTGTTTGGTATGTGCCTAAAGACAACTCAAAAATATATATACTTACTTTAGAGAGGACGTGG